GATCGTGGGCGCCGGGGGCTGCAGCTCCTATGGTTGGAGCGCGTCTGACGGCGTTGTCGTGGGTGGTCGCGAGACAAAGTCAACGCCTGCACATGTGCAACTAACGCCCTAATGCAGGCAACTAGCTCGGCGTTGTCAGTGCATTGCGGCAGTGGGGCTGGTTGTGTGTAGGATTGGACCGACAGCTGATCAGCGTATACCCTGTCGGCCATCTCGGATAGTTCCGTAAGCGTGTGCCGCTGGCCAGAATACTGTAATATGGACGACAAACTCTTTGGTAGAGCTTGTTACCAGGACAGGCGGAGTATTTCCTCATCGACGTTTAGACTAGCGGCCTGACCCGGGATGGAACTTATAAGTTTGGTCGGGGTGTCGAAGACGTTGTCCCCCAGACGCAGGCGACCTAGCAGCTGTTTGAGGCGGCATTCTATAGGCATCCTGAATCTGCTCAATATCGCATCGCGGAGGGCGTCGTAAGGTCGATCTGGTGGGGGGTTGCATACTATATCACGTAAACGTGGAGCCATAGACCTCGGGAGCTGCCCTACGAGTTGGGTAAACTTGGCTAGCTGGTTGGTCGCATTAGCTAGCTTAAACTGGGCCTCCACTTGGGACAGCCAGAACTCCGGATCCTCGGGAATAAATTCGGGAATCGGGCTTGTAAGCCCAATACGCTCGATTCGTTTGTTGCTGCCGTGGTGCTATGCTCTTTACCTTCAGAATATTGGTTGAACATGATAACATAGGGGTGGATGTGGAAAAAAATGAACAAGCTAGTTGGGAGGAAAATGCTTGAACGACTGCGAAGATCGAGGTACTTGTACGATATACACCAAGGGTTAAGAGACAAATAATGTCTACAAACGGTGTCGAAATGCAAGTACCGGAATACGTAAACGCATATGAATTTCTATAAAAATTCGAAAGCGAACATTGGCTTCCCGGAAAATGATAATAAATACAGTAAAACCGTTAAAAATAAATGAAATAAGTAGCGCCGGCACTCGTCAAAGACAAAAATTACAAAAGGAATGACTGTGCGTGGGCACCAGACTCACTCCAAACTTGCAGCCCGTGGCGTTCTAAAAAGAAACGGGGTAACTGAACTCGGGCTCATCAATTTAGCACGCTAAGTTGGACCCAAGTCAACAGGCGTCAACAAATCCAATCATTCGGCCTTGCCGAACGATTTCCAGAGCAAGTGTGAATTGATAACCTGCAGTTGCGGTGGCACTTACATCGGCAGAATGAATCGGCCCCTGCACAGCGGATGTCTGAACACATTCCCAAGTGGCTGGTACAGTCGGCGACGCAACAGTCTTAGAGGTCGAACCGATAAAAGAAATCCGGGGTCATCAATCGCAAAACATCTTGTGGCAACTGGACTCGTCGTTGACCCACAAATGTAGTTCAAGCCGTTGTTACGTATGTTGAAGCCCGGATTTTAGCGTTTAGCGAGGTGATGCTAATCAAGTTACATAACCCAATATTGTGCGCACAAAAGTTTCTCACTCAATCAGTTAGACTGCCATGGAACTAATTTCCCACCCCACCCTCTCCCCCGCTTCCCTAACTATTGTCCGTTTTACCGCTGTAGTTATCAGAACTTGATTGAATAAATACCAGATTGTTTTACTCTCGCAGCGGAGTGCATTGCTCGTCCTATCTGATCCCATTGTTCATCTACACTACCACCCCGCCGAGCGTTTAGCTCTTTTCCTAGTTCTGATTCAAAACGGGCGCGAACAGCTGGGTCAGATGAACGATGATCTACCAACCGTGTTTGGTGGGTTTTTGTGACCAGTGAGTTGGAGAGTGAACTGCATCAACACTTATGCACGATCAAATTCAACGCAGATGGTTCAATAGGACCTGCAGTTTTGTACTGAGCCACGCCAACGGTAGCTTACTGCTATGTGGTCGATTTGAGTTAGCGTAACAGTTAAATTGGAGCGCCATGTTGTTGCCCGTTGAGAGCTGTGACGGATGTTGGTGCTGAATAGGAACAGATGATGATCTGCACAGAACTGAAGATGTCGATCACTGTTATCGTTCGCCGGCAGGACAGAGCACAATGACCGCCTAGGCAAGCTTCCGATGCGCTCAGTTTTCCAACTTGAGAGTTGAAATCACCTCGGAGCTTCGACTCAACCGAATCAGTTCGCTGAGTTTATCATAAAAGTCGTCCTTTTATGCGTCAGAACTTCAATTGGTCGGTGCATACGCTGAAACGATGAACAGATACCTTTTAGTGTTGCTTCCCTTCCGGACGTCGATAGACCCTTGGAGCCGCATCGCACAAAAGCGGCTGTTGACGGGGATCCAGTTGAGCAGTGCGGCTTCGGCTGTATTCAGTACAATGCCCACACCACGCTGACCTACTGAACGGGCTTCATCATAACCTGACGCGCGGAGGAAGAACCTCGAGGACAACCCCGGTGCACTTAAGTGGTTTGTAGTGCTAGGATCCTAGATTCGAGTCTCCGGCACGCAACAGACATCAATCCCCAAAGAGTCCATTGTACGCGCTAGACGCGCTTGTTGACCCATCTGCATCAAAGTCCTCACGTTGAAGGTCCCCAGATTCAATGTTTGACGAGGCTTTAGAATGTGGAATTTATTTTGTGGTAAACTACTTACCGGGCTACTTGGCGACGAACTTGAGCGAGTGACGACCAAGTTGTCTGAGGGGTTGGAAGAAGGTGGAAAGGGAGAGGGTTGGGAACGGAGGACAAAGAGTAAAATAAAGGTTGGAATATCTGAGCAGTAGCCCAATTATCACTACCCATCCCGCTCGATGCAATGAGCAGCGCGGTCCTGATAATCCTGCGCGATGACCGATGCAGTATGGAATTTTTTCGTTGTGTATGTGCACTAGGGTTTAATGGACAGGTACTGCCAGGGTGTCCAGCTACTAAGCAAGAGAACGATTGGGGTGTGTAAACGATCCTGATATCAGAGCCAGAATGTGGGACGTTATTAGGATATTATCAAAAATGGACAAAACAAGGGAATACAAAAACCCTGGTCGCACGATTTCGTTTCATTCCAACTGGTACAATGTGGCAGAAAATCACTGCCTTTGCAGTAGTAAAAACTGTGCTTATTCGATTCTGCCCTATTCCAGCGTGATTGGTGTACTGTTTAGTGTTATTAACTTTTGTTTTGTGTCGTATTCTACAAACAGGGAAGAAATAAAAGTTGTCGTGGCATAAATTGGGCTATCTAGGTTTTTGTATTCTCCCTTCAAGTTTCATGCAGTCCATGTTTGATATAATAAAACGTTTTGAAATGGAATGTTGATTCTTTCCGTGTTTTTTTTCGTAGCCGCATATTAGAACACAATTCGATCGGACTGGACAATCAGATCCTACTGCCTCAGAGTGCTGACTTTGATCACGTGAACTGCGCGTCTGTGGGTGATTTCAATTTTGACGGTCTGCCCGAGATCGTTCTGGGCACGTTTGGACAGCGGATGCTCTTCTATCAATGGGATTCGTCCAAACCGCCAGATGATGATGCCTGTCCTTCTGTGGATGGTGGTTACCGGTTAGTATGGCCTCGTGAAATTGTTGTTACGGGTTGGTTTGAAATAAGCTGTGTGACTTTAAACCTTGCCATTATTATATCTGAAAGCGGCTTTCGACTCAGTCGATCGCTCTAAACTCTGGCACTGCCTTTTTCTGAAAGGTGTGCCCGAGAAGTTAATTGCAATATTACAATCGCTTTATACTAATAGCCGAAGTCGAGTCCGGGC